ACTGATCAAGTCCGATCAAGTATTGTAAAATAATTTTTTTATGTGCTTCACACCGTGTGTAAAATCAGTTGTGTAACCATCAACGTTTCCTCCCGTTGGTTGAGTAGGATTATAATTAATTATCATGCTCACGTGTATAGTAAAGCTATCATGCCGATCATATTTGTGCGAATAAACTATTTCACCGATTGTACTCATGAGTAGTACCGATCATACTTGTATATATAACGATAAATACGTAATTTAATGTTACATATCTGATATAAATGATTATTGGTTGCGTAACATTCATACAATATTGGTGTTATATGTAATTTGTGCCTGCTAAAAGACTAATTTTTGGCAGTGATTACGTAAGCTGTCAAATAACTGGTTTTTAGCAATATCATCATAGTAAGCTGCCATATATCTTATACAAATATTGTATATTTATATTATTGGTAACCTCAAGAATTGAATTTTTATTCGAAAGAGATTTCGCGAAATTACGTGTATAAAGGGTATAAAGGATAATTGATATGTTATGTAAATTGAAACATTTATTGGGATTAAATACTGAGTAAAATTTTTAAACCCGTTCACGTAATGACCGATTATATACGTACTAGTATTGTTATGAGAAAGGCTGAATGTAATTTTCTTTTCCTGGAATTGAAGGAAACTTTTTCCCTAGATTTATAAAAAGTTAACTTAATCCATACTCGGTAAAAGATGATACAAACTAGTAAACAAATGTATCCAATCATTACACTACATGGAAACACTGATCAAAAATTGTTAGTGTGTAACACGTGTGTATACATTGTGATGCAAATTAATTTTGTTTACAAAATTTAGAATTGACCCAATTAAGTAATTTAATTAAAGTCAAAATCCAATAATAATAGTTGTTTGTTCGAAAAAGAAAATTCAGCGTTAGAAATGTATCACAGGTTTAATTCATTTACAAACATACTGGTTAAAATTTACACAGAAACTTTAATGTGTATGTACAGAATTATTTAAATTTATGAGTATAAGGTTTATATAACAAATACACAAATAAGCATAAATATTTAAAAGTGGTTTGTTAGAAAAAAAAGACACATTGTTAAAGAAAATTACTTTTTAGTTATGGAGATTCTGAGAAATTCCGAGCTTGGCCTTTCGGATTTCTTTGAACTTTCGTTTGGTTTAGGGCCAATTGAATTTGATCCTACAAGCTTTGTGACAGAAGAATTAACTATTGACTTATTTACTTCACTTATTAAGCCTTCTTTGTGCGAATCGAATCCAAGAGGGATTTTTCGCAACTTATTTCCATATCTAGTCGATTATATTAATAGAACAATTCCATTAACTAGATTTGTTAATCATGTAAATTATTTCATTGACGAAAATGACAAACTCAACGATCCACAAGGAATTCTCCAACGATTTAGAAAATGTACTGGCAGAGACTTTTTTATAGCTTTCCTTGATAAAATCTCGATAAATTCTCTTCCAAAATTACTTAATGCTGTCATTTATGCCAATATTCCTATTCCAATTTTTCTACCGAATGACATGGTAAATTTTGAAAAAGGTCTTAGAGTACTAGACGCGATGCACAATATAATAGATATTGGAAAATATCATCTTTTCGTATCTGTGAACCAAGCAAACACCAAAATGAAATCGCCATTTACAAAACAAATTTATAAGTGTTATTCAAATAATCGTGAAGATCGTTTAGGTCTTTGTCATCCTGGCTCTCTTGACATCTCTTTTCATGCTGCTTCCGAAAACAATGATCGTCATCCTTTAGCTATTTCAGAAATATATTATGATGAAACAAATTCCCAAATTTTTCAAAATGTAGTTAATGAATTATCAAAGGCCGCATATTATATTGTTATTCACGCTTTCGATAGTAATTTTAATATAATTGAACCAAATGATGAATTTAAAGCAATTATTAATAACATTTCTATTGAAAGACATGGCACGAACTCTAGAACTATTTCAGTCCTTTTTTGGGGAGTAAATAAGGAAGATAATATAATTAAAAAACGAAAACAAAGGGTGTTAGATATATTGATAAAGCAACTTTTTCATGATCAAATTCGAGTTGAGATTATTACTGAAGAAAAGGAATCATTTTTTTTTGAAGAATTCAAAGAATATTCATTTCAGAAACTCTTAAACACGCCAAATCTTTATTTGTCGGCAACTGCTTTTCGTAACTTATTTAATAAAAATTATGATTCGGAAGTTTCATTCTCCACGTTGATGGAAGCTACAACTTTTAAAAGTCGTGCAGATATTTTTACAGCTTCGTATTTCTCTAACGAGATAGATGCACTTAATGACAAAATTCAATCAAAGAATTCAGAAGATTCTGCAACTTATATGACAGAAGACGAGATCAATGATGAAATAAAAAAGCTTCAAGAATTGCAAAAAAATCTTTGTGGTTCTGATCCAATACCAGTCCTTAAAAATTTTGCTCAAGTTATCAAAAAGAATAACATAACTTATATGCGTGAATTTGCTCGTCAAATTGATAGTTTCGTTAAAACAAATTTAAACGAACTTGCTTTGAAATATAGTGAATTAAATCAAACCGATCAAGATAATGATCAAAAAAGTGAAATAAAGCAACAAATAGAAGACAGAAATATAACTATTCATGATTTTTGGAAAGAATTTATTGTTTTATCTCAGATAAAAAAAAGATATTCAACAGCTTTAAAATCATTATATAATATTGATAATACGTAAGTATTTTTCTATATTCTTAAAATTTATATAACATAATTTTAACATTACTAATTGTTGATTATTTTAGTCAACTCGAAACTGCATATAAAAGTTGGATATGCGAGGGTGAAGCAATTCAAATTCTAGAGAGTGATTCGTTTAGAGCATTGAATTCCGAATTTCTTTTAGATATTTTTAATCAAATAACATTTAATAATAAACGACCATTGATTGTTCTTTCGATAATTGGGCCCGAAAATTCTGGTAAATCTACATTAATAAATTACCTATTTCAAACTTCAAATGGAAGTCGGTATGTAATAATCAATTTTAATTAATTATTATTTGCTTTGCATGTCTATATATATAAAGTATACTAAAATTTATTGCGTGTTTTTTTAATAGTACTAAAGGCAAGTTCTGATGATCTTTTTTCGTATTATTTCCTTGTTTATAATAGATTATTATTTACAATTATTGTAATATTGTATTACAGGCGTATATATGTCATATCGACATACAATCCATAATGGAAAAGAAACAGATTTTTTGATATTAGATTTTGAAGGAATTGATTCTATAACTGAGAGATTAATCTCTCAACGTAATGATTTTGATAAAAAAATTACATTATTAGCTACTTTGTGTTCTCAAATCTTGATCCTCAATGTTAAAGAACTTACCCAAGATATTTCTGATATTCTTGAAGTTTCTTCTTATCATTTGGATACTTTAATTAAACGCAATTTTAAACCGAGAATCAATTTTGTATTACGCGATATGATGGAGGTGGATACTAGAAACTCTCAACAATATGCATTTAATAATATTCGTGAAGGTCTGAAAAGGATGTTTAACGAAATTCCAGGATGTGCTTACAACATGGAAAGTCTTATGATGTTGGAAGAGGAAAATATTCATTTATTAGAAAATGCTTTTTCTTGCACTTTTGATGAGTTTTACCCCAACACCAAACAAATTGATCAAAGTGACCATGAAAACTTCTATTATCCTACGGTATGAACCTTTCGTATAAATAAATATATAGATATAGTATATGAAATTATGCTATCTTATATTTATGTCAGAATTAATAATATAAATTATGAATATATAGGAAACATTTCCATCAGAAGTGTCCAAGCTTAGGGAAGAGTTACTTGCATTTTCCTCTAATGAGCATGAATATAAAAGCATTGACGGTAAGGAATATTTTGTTTGATCAAAAATCAAAGATAATTTTAGACAATAAATAATTATCTAATGAAATTTATTTAATAAAGAGTTCATTTCATACATACAAACCATTTGGAAGGAAATTGATGCACGTGGAAAATTCCTTCATTACAAAAATTTCGAAATGATACATCAATGGAATTCAATACGAAAGTTAGTTAGCGTTAAAGACGAATCATTCATAAAAATTTATAAAGAAGAAATTTCAGATTTAATAGATGAAATCGAATCTGATCAGTGGTCTAAAGAACAAGATATTAAATTTGAAGCAGCTCTTACTAAAGTAACCAATACAATATGTCAACAAACGATTTCTGATTTCCTTGAAAATGCATCAGATGAGTTTGATCCTACATTAATTGAAAAAGGAATGACTTATATTAACTCAGCATTTACATCAGAGAAACGTAAACTTCAGGCAGCTTATACAATAAAACGTCGAAAGTTCAAGGATTCATGGCTTATCGAATCTGCAAAAGCAAAGATCAGTGAAAATATCAAACAAGTACTTAAAGAAAAAACTCCAGGAAAAGTTAAAAAGAACTTGTTAGAATGTGATCATTATTTTAATACTGAATGGGAGTATATAGAAGCAGATAAGAAGAATTTTATTAATAGTATGTCATTAGAGACAAAGGCATTGGAGGAGCAGGTAGTTACATGTTTTAATAAAGCTATTACAGATGGAATAAGTTTAATCGGTTCTGATGATGAAACAAAGGATCAATTTGATAGAAATTTTTGGTCTAAACTCGAGAAACCAGCAACTCTAGTACAATCAAAGTTTTTAAAGAATACAGAATTTTTAAAAAGTTTTGATTTTAAATTCGTCGTGGAACCAAATTCAAGTGGGATAGCTGGATATATTAATAATGCTAAAAAAGGCATTTCAAAACAATCTGCTATCAGAACAATTAAGACATCTATTAAGAAAACTTGTAAACAAATTGTTAATGAAATCCAAAATGAGAATACGTTAACGATTGAATTCGATCAAGCATTAGAATGGATTCAGAGATTATGTGATAATATTTTCGTCACTTTACATAATGAACTAAATAGTTCTCAAAATAATTTGGTTGTTAAAATAGATGGGTTTAAATCAATAGAGGTAATATAAATTTTCATTTATTCAAAAATAAATTAAAATTTTTCATTTCATTTAAATTAATATACTGTTATATTTTATCTTAGCAATATTTACGACTTAAAGTTTTTAAAAGACTGGACGCAAATACTAAAAAATGGAAAGATATACAACAAAAAGAACTTGATGAATATAGAAAAAATTTGTGGAAGTTCTTTGTTGAATTAAAAAGTGATACATATTATGAATATTTATCAACCAACTTTTTTGAACTCATTTTTCAATCTTTTGAAAAACAGTTAAATAATCCCTATAATTTTGTTTCGGAACTTATGGATAAATATTTTAATTGTGATGATTATAACATTACAAGAATCGCGCATGAACGAAGTTTTGGATCTCTTAATGTAGAAAATTGTTGTAATTATATTGAAAATCCAATTAAATTTATGAAAAAATTATTTGAAGAAGAGATTAGAATTATTAAAGATATTAAAATAGGTGAAAAACTTGAAGAAATTGAAGAAAATATTATTAATACTATTCCGAATGAACTCAAGGAAATAATTTCGAAATCCAAACAATATTATTCTTCTCGACCTATACATGAATCTTCTTATATATGTCCTAATATTGAACAAATCCTTCGCTCATCAAAAGGAACACTTTTGGAAATTCTAATGAAAGATAAATCTCAAGGCACTGACACTATTTTAAAGTGTGTTGTCAAATATCCTTCAAGATTTTTGGCATGCCTTGAAGAAAATATTGATAAAGTGTTTTCAGAATTTGAAAATAGGTGGAAAAATAAACTTAAAAATCATTGTAAAACTTCAATGATTATCAAAGTTGAAAATTATCGATCATTATATTGTAATAAAGTTATTGGATGTCAGGAACGGTGTCCATTATGCGGGTAAGTAAGATTTCAAAAAATATGATAATCAAAATAAATATGAAACTTTAAATATGTTAATATTGTATATTCGAAAATTTTTACAGATCAAAATGTGAATTGGCGGATCATAATTCTGATATACCTCATAAAACATCAATACATCTAATGGTTAGCTTTAATGGAGTAAAAAATAAGTCAAATGAAGCAAGCTTGAATATATGTACTGATTCAGTATATCAAAGTGATACATGTGATGAATTTCATGGTCATTCATTTGGAAATTATATTCAAACATGTTATCCAAAGTGGTACCCAATTGATCCAATGGATACTAATGAAGATCAATTAAAACAACTTAGAACCATGTGGATACTTTTAAAGAGTGAAATATGTAATAAACATGGTATGGTAGATTCTACACCTCCTCATTGGAATGCATATTATTCTCATCTTACATAAATATTAAAAAAATTATATAAACAAATATTCTTTCATGTATATTAAATCATTATTTTATAATAAAACACTGGATATTTATTTTAATAATTATTTAATTTCTTATTAAGTATGTTAACACATAGTATTAGCAAAAGTTTACCAAAAAGTTTATTATGATTACAAATAAGCTAACTTCTAAAAATTGCAAATACGGCAAGCCATATAACAAACATGACTGTAAACAAATCTAAACTATTAAAATGTTGGTTAAGTAATCTATAATCGCATGATATTTACTAAAAATTTCCAAATAAACTTGGTATTATTTAGGTTTCTTGCTGATTTGAAAGACTTCATATTCATTTACCAAAAAATATTGAGTATTATCAAATAATTTTTCATATGAATGTTTACAACAACAACATACATTACTTTGATTATTAACAAATTGTTTATCATAATCAAAAAACATACGAAGATCACAACCACCGAAGCTTACACCACGATTATTATTAAAATAAAGCGCCTTTTGTTGTGCTTGTACACGATTTAAAATAGAATTTTGAACTGCTTCATTTTTCAATGAGAAAATAAAGCTCTCTTGGCAATTAACATAATTACAAACAGAATTATTCCATGCAATTGGATTATATCCACCAATAATCTTTTCAATATTATAATTAGGATTTTTAACATTCACAACGGTAACTGTATTCGCTTGTAAATTACATAAATTCCAAAATGCTTCACGAGTAAAACCATCCCTGCTTCCCCGAAGAAGCAACTTAAATTCGTAAGGGTTATCTGCAGTGTTATATAAATTGGCCTTTTTATCAATCCATGAAGCAATTTCTGCAGCATGTTCTTCATTAATGACAGTTGAAAATGGTTCAGTTGATCTGTTTGGTAAAACTGGCACAGAAATTATACGAGGTGGCAAGATTGTTGACGAAATTTGATGATTAGGAGACATATATTTGCTTGCCAGATCTTTCCAAAGATTTTTTTCAAGAATTAATAAATAAGGTAATATATTTTTTGCAATATCTTCACCAGAGATTTGAAAGTAACGGATAAGAGGTAAACAATATTGTAGAGTAGTCTTTAAAGTCATAAAATTTTCATAAGACCAATTTTCAATATCTGAAGGTAAGGACGAGTTTTGAGCAATTCCCCATTCGATGACATGATTCCAAATTGATATTTCTTCCATCTGCAAATCATCACGTTTGATAAGTGAAACTAATGTTTCTTCTTTAAGAGAAGTGAAATCCTCAGAATCGAAAACGAGCTTTGGATATTTTACTACAATATTATTACACCATTTATGTAACTCTTTAAGTTTGTTATTCTGAATGCAAATCTTATAAATACGTGCAAAATGTAAACGTAACCAGTGAGCATTTGTTTCGATTAAATGAGTCTCAAGGCTTTCCACTAATTCTTCTAAAAGAAGCTCATCAGCAGCTTCAGTAAGATTAAAAATAGATTCGCCGTCAAGATTTTCTAACGAAATAAAGCCACCATAAATATACCTAATTATCAAATAGAATTAAAAATTTTGCATAATAATTTTATATAAAAAATAAAATAAAAGTGACATTTACTTAATAATAATTTCAAATTGCGAGATAGGAACTTGTGGTACTAAACTAATTCTCGTAATACTGTTCGTATCTTTAACAGCTTTTACTAATTCATTACGAAAATATAATGACCGATATTTTAAAATGGCTGAATGTGCCTTGAATTCCTTTACGTTTGAATCATCTCCCACTTTAATGACTACATTAAAATCTTCTCCGTTCTCTAAAAGATCAATATAATTATTCGAAAGTTTTTCAAAGAGTTTGATCGCCATTTTTAGCCTCTAAACAGATGTGACTGATCGACCCTGTAATGCAAGATATCATAATAAATTTTTTTCAACGCACCTAATACGTACTTGGTAAAATTAAAATGCCGTGGAATGTAGCAGGTAGTACATGCTGTTCGTACGCATGTACGGTACATACTATAAGTACACGGTACCTGATACAATACATGTATAGTACTTACAGAAGAATGGCTTGAAAAGCTATTTCCGAAGGGCATATTAATTATATAGAATATAATAAATTTACAGACCCTATTGTGATCTGCGTTGGAGGTCTTGGAAAGGTTCTTAAATATGATTATAGAGACAGTGAATTAACGGTTGCTCTTAAATGTATTAAAGTTGATAAAAGATTTTGTTAACGAGGTAATATTTATTATGATAAAACTTTAATGGCATCCTATAAAGAATAATAAGTTCTCATAATTCATATAATAGCTTAAACAATTACGAAAAGTTTCTTACCATCCAAACGTTATTTCATTCTATTGAGTGACAAAAGGTAAACAAACAATTTATAATTTTAAAGTTATCAAATAATAATATCCTAAACGTACAAATATATAGATAGCAACGGATATTATAATCTGGTTTTACAATACGACGGAACATTACGAGAAGGCAAATTAATTTACTAATACGTACTTAATCTAATTATTATATTTTAATAATTTAGCATTCGAAAAACATCTTAATTCATCAAAGACAACCAAAGATTACAGATTTTGGACTATCAAAGCAGATGAATGAAATATCTAAGACTTCAAACTCAATCGTTCATAAAATGCCGGCATATATCGATCGTAAATGTTTTATCGATCCAAATACAAACGTAATAAGAAATCTGATGTCTATAGTCTTGGTGTAATTCTTTTAGAGATTTCAAGCGGAAGAACTCCATTCCAAAACTTCGGAATGGCACTCTATTATCACATAACTCAAGGAAATAGAGAAAAACCTATGGAAGGTACATCATCTAAATATATTGAACTTTATCAAAAATGTTGGGACAACAATCCTGCCAGTCGCCCAAAAACAAAATTAATTCTTAATACTTTAAAACAACTTATTCTTAATGAATCTTTGAGTCTACACGAGCCTATTGAAATATCAACTCAAAATATTGAAATTTCTTCAAGTCATTAATTCAATATAATTGCATTCAAAAATTCAGTTGAAATTACGACATCAGCTCCACTTTATTTATCTGACATGATGAATTCGAATACTTCGATGAAAGACAATAGTACTCTTAAGAATTTGAAAAGGAAGCACGAGAATGTTTTGAGCAGGGCAAATTTCTCAAAGCATTAGAACTTTTTGAAGAAATTCTCAAAAACAGCAGCATAATTCTGAAGATCAAGAAAGTGCTTCAACTTGACTTGGAATCTTTCTGATTATGGATATTTTAGATCGAAGAAAATAAATGAGTTAACAAAAGTACTTTGCAGGAACTCCATGTTGAAAAGATTGAATCTTGGAGAGAATAAACTTGGATCAAAAGAAGGAGAAGCATTAGCAGATGTACCTTGCAAGAACACCATGCTGACTTCTTTGAATCTTAATAATTATAATCTTGGATCAGAAGGAGGAAAAGTATTAGCAGATGCACTTTGCAAGAACTCCACGCTAAAAGATTTGAATCTTCAATCTAATAATTTCGGATCAGAAGGTGGAAAAGTATTAGCAAATGCACTTTGCAAGAAACCACGCTGACAACTTTCGTTATTAGTTTTAATGAACTTGGATCAGAAGGAGGAAATGTTTTAGGTGATGCACTTTGCAAGAACACCACACTGACATTTTTGGATTTTCGCAAAAATAGTATTGACTTTAAATTGAAATCAAACAATCCAAGTATTAAGATAGATCAATAAGCTAAAGCACGTATAATACCCAGTGAAATTATAATATAGTAAGAGTTAGAGGCTTAAAATATGCTGGTTTTTTTAAAAAATTTATTTAAAACTTAAATTTTTGTATCTGTTTATGTATTGGTAAAAACTAAAGTTCTTAGTTAATATGTCTATAAATTATTATTGCATAATAGTAGGCTTTTTTTTGATTTATTTTAAATAGTATTATAAAAAAATAACTATAATCGTTTTACAAATATAAAGTTTATAGTTTTTTAAAAATAGTTTTTTTTTTTATTTTTTTATAAAATACTTTTAATTAATTTTTTTTAATTTAAATTATATCAACTAAAGATATTTTTAAGTATTATTTTACAGCGCTTTTCAATTTACTGTGATCATCAAATGATTGACCATCACACGGAAATCTTCAAAATTCTCTAAATTTAAGGCTTTTTTGCAAATAAATCTAAATTTCTTGCCAGCAAATAAAAAATTCCCCAAATTCCTCTCTTATTTTCGCTTTTTCAATATTTTTTATCAAGAAATATACAAGAGCTAGTTGTTTGTGCAGCTAAATAATACGGGAAATCTCATGTCTATTTTGTATCATATTTATTGATTTTTTTTCAAAGTTTGAACGAAGATATCTTGACAACCGCCAAGTCAAATTCGATGAACTTTTTTTTTATTGAAATTTTACGGACCAGTAGAATTCAGATAAATAAAAAATTATCGAATTTGGCTTGGTGGCTACTGATATATCCCCTTTCAAAATTTTAAAAAATTATAAAAGTTGCACCAAAATTTCTCAAACTTAGAATGAAGATGTCGACGACCACCAAGTCAATTTTTTCTTTTTTTTTTGTACCATATACCTTTAGCATCCAAATAAAAAGATGTTTATCAAATTTGACTTGATAATTGTCAAGATATCGTCACTCAAAGGTTTAAAAATCTCAATATCTATCAAAATAGAAGCTGTGACAAATTTCTAATTCTATGAACATGCAAAATTAGAATTTAAAAAATAAGATCGAATTTGGCTTGTGGTTGTTGAGATATCTCGCTCAAAATTTTTAAAAATTGAACATCTATCAAATAAAAATTTTCTCAAATTTTGAGCAAAGATATCTCGACAGCCATCAAGTCAAATTCGATGAATTTTTTTTATTTGAATTTTACAAATATGTAAAATTCAAATAAAAAAAGACACAGAATTGGCTTGGTATTTGTCAAGATATATCTTCGCTCAAAGTTTTAAAAAAAACTCAAACCATCTATCAAAATAGATGTTGCGCCAAAACTTTTCATAGTTTGAGTGAAAATATTTCATAAACTACTAAACCAAATTCAATAAACGTTTTTTAATTGAATTCTATGAATCCATAAAATTAATAAAGAAAGTTCATAATTTGGCCCTGTGGTTACCAATATATCTTCGTCCAAAGTTTTAATAAAAAACCAAGTCAAATAGAAGCTGCGCTGACAACATCAATCAAATTTTAATGAACTTTTTTTTTACCTGAATTCAAAGATACAGAATTCAAATAAAAAAAAATTTATCAAAATTGGGTTGATAGTTGTCAAGATATATTCATTCTAAGTTTAAGAAAAATTTTGTTAAATTTTTTTAACATTTGAGCGAAGTTATTCTCAACAACCACCAGGCCAAATTAATGAACTTTTTTTTTTATTTAAATTCTACGTATATGCAGAATTTAAATAAATGAGAGTTCATTAAATTTTGTCTGGTGGTTGTCAAGATACCTTCGTTCAAAGTTTAAGAAAAGTTTAATTTATAAGGCATTATGAATATCCAATTCCGGTGGTGTGTGATCTACAAAATTTGATGATCACAGTAAATTGAAAAGCTCTGTAAATTAAATGGATTCCCTTTCGTGAAACAAATGGGTGTTAAAAAAATCATATACTCTAGCATATCTTCAATGCAAAATTTTGAGTCAGACAGTGATAGAATAAGCTTGCTTTATTTATTTGTTTATTAAATGAGATTTTATATATAATATTAACGATAATTTAATATACAAACCGAATTATTTAACACCAAAAAAACTGATAATTGTCACCATTACAGAAAACCAGCTGCGGCTTATTTAAGTTAAACTAATAATAAATCCGTAATATAAAAGTCGTCCACCTCATATATAGTATGAAATTAAATTTCGAGTTCTTCAAAAGGTACCAATTCAACATATTCTTTCAAATCTTTTTTGATATTATTTAAATCAGTAGTGGATATATATGAATATCTAGATAAACCCACATATTTTAAAGTTCTTTTTCGTTTACAAAACTCAATTAACGCTTTAACTGTTTTCTTTATATCATATTGAAAATTAATTAATAATTTTTTTAAAGGTGCCTCACAATGACTAATCAAAATATCATTGCGTATATATGACCACTCAAGGTATTGTAACGTTGATGGTAATATTTTGGCAAATTGCATATCTAGATTTTTCAATTCAAGTACATTATCCATAAATCTTAAAGTGAGATATTGAAGTTTTTGTAAACTTTCAATGAGTTTTAAAAGTTCAACAGAAAGCTTGATATATGAAATGTAGAGACGTGTAATGTTTGGGCAGAAAGCTATAAGCGTATCGAATAATAATGATTGTGAACAAATTTCTTCATCTTCTGAATCAAGTTTTAATCGTTGTAATAATGTTCCTGACTTTTTTATTATCGGTATTAAAATCGATGCATCAACTTGGCATGAATTTATTTCCAATGTGCTAATATTACAAAGACCTGTATCCAATATTTTTAATAGTTTCTGTTCTTCACTATATAGAATACGAAGAACTTCTAATTTTTCACAATTCATTAATACCTTAAACTCTGCATTATATATGCAACCATCTAATTTAATTTCTTGCAAAGTTTTTCTTTGACTTTCTAAAGCTGAAATAACTCCGCACATTGCAGTTTGCAATTCTGTTTCACAGAACAAGCTAAACTGTCTAAGATGTCCTTGGGATTTAATGATATTTGCCAATGTACGATATATTTGTGACTCATGAATATAGCCAAATGTACCGAAATTTAAGATACTAATTTTTGTAGTAGTTTTTGCCAAGATTCTTAATAACATAATGGCCTCTTCAATACCGAAGCCAAAAGATTCAGTTACAACGTCCACAGATAGATCTTGAATGCGTGAGAAAAAATGTTCATTTTGTCCCAATGTATAAAAAACATCCGGCTTAATAATAAATTCGGTAAAATAGACTTCGAATTTTGATAAAATAGCACCACTTTCGATGAATAATTTAAATAATAAATTAGCTAAATCATCTTTTAATATACACCTATTTTTTTGTTGATTGTCTTGAAAATTGATCCATCTTCTAGAATTCTCCTCTAAACGAGATAAATTGAGAACCGTTAAAAATTTTGCATAATTAAATAGTGTATTAGGAAAATCAATGATTATTCCACATTCTTTTAAAAAAAGTTTTTCTTCTTCACCAAGATATGAAAAATATCTGGATATAAATATAGGTCTTTTATGCAATGTGAATGGATCTCGCCAAAGAATAGGAATAGATATCTTGCACCAATGCCGACTTACTAACGCACAAGAATATAAAGAATAAAATTCTTTATCTAAATTGTTAAGAATATTTTCCATTAATTCGGGCATGTCGCCCATAAATAGTTTTGACGCCATGATATAGTTTCAGTACGTAAGATACTTTGTTGAGGCTTTTTGAGTTGCATTTTATGTACACTGTATCGTCATATGGATGTCATTTTACATTGTAATACGTTACACAAGCATAATAGATTAGATTAAATTAATTATAGTAAAAATCTGACATTTATTCATTTTCCGCTTTTAAAAAATCAGTTAAGGCTATTTCAGAGTTATATTCAAACGTAGTTATGAAATATCTGTTATTACGGCCTATGTCATTGTCTTCAAGGTTCTACACCTACAGCATTGATATGCTCAGTATATTATAAAGAATGTATTTTCATCAAAACGATAAAATTTTAAACTTCTAGAGAATGCTAATTTACATCAATGAATTTATTTTCAGTTATTTTTTCTGTTAAAGAAATATATATTTATTAATTATATGATAAGGAGGTTAGAACAGTATTTGTACAAAGGTTTTTTTTCAATGCGTCAGCAACTTGATTTCTTTTAAGATTCAAATAAGTCAAGGTAGTGTTCTTGCAAAGAGCTTCGACAAATGCTTTTCCCCCCTCAGAGCCAAGTTTATTGTAACGAAGGGTTAATGAAGTCAAAGTAGTATTTTTACAAAGAGCATTTGCTATTGTCTTTCCTCCTTCAGGACCAAGTTTATTATAGCCAAGATTCAAAGAAGTCAAAGTAGTATTCTTGCAAAGAGCTTCAGCTAATGCTTTTCCAACCTCAGAATCAAGTTGATTATATTTAAGATTCAAAGATGTCAAACTATTGTTGTCGCAAAGAGCTTCTGCTAACGCTTTCCCTCCTACAGAACCGATTTGATTATAACCAAGATTTAATGAAGTCAGAGTGGTGTTCTCGCAAAGAGCCACCGCTAATGCTTTCCCTTCTTCAGGACCAAGTAAATTGTAGCTAAGATTCAAAGAGGTTAGGGCAGAGTTTTTACAAAGAGCTTCAGCTAGTGCTTTCCCCCCTTTGAACCGAATTTGATTATACTGAAGATTTAAAGAGGTCAGAGTAGTGTTTTTGTAAAGAGCTTCTGCTAATAATTCACCTTCTTCAGAATCAAGTATATTGCATTTAAGATTTATAATGGTTAGAGTAGAGTTTTTACAAAGAGCTTTCGCTAATGCTTTTCCTGCCTCAGAACCAAGTAGATTAAAGCTAAGATCTAAAAAAGTTAAAGTTGTGTTTTTGCAAAGAGCTTCTGCTAAAACTTTTCCTCCTTCGAATCCAATCTGATTATCACGAAGATTTAAAGAAGTCAAAGTAGTATTTATACAAAGAGCCTCTGCTAATGCCTTCCCCCCTTTACAGTTAACATAATTACTATCAAGATTTAAAGTGTTCAGAGTAGTGTTCTTACAAAGAGCCTCAGCTAATACTTTTCCTACCTCACAACTAAGTTGATTACAATTAAGATTCAAAGAAGTCAAAGTAGTGTTCTTATAAAGAGCTTTTGCTAACGCTTTCCCACCTTCAATCCCAATCCAATTATCGTCAAGATTTAAAGAAGTTATTACAAAGAGATTCCGCTATTGCTTTTCCAGCCTCAGAACCAAGTTGATTGTGGCCAAGATTCAAAGAAGTTAGAGAAGTATTCTTACAAAGAGCCTCAGCTAACGCTTTTCCACCTTCAAAACCAATATGGTTATTATAAAGATTTAAAGAATTTAGAATAGAATTTTCGCAAAGAGCTTCAGATAAAGCTATTATACCCTTAGAATTGATTTTATTATTTTTAAGTTTTAAAGAAGTTAAAGTAATATTTTTGCAAAGGATCGTTACTAATTCATCTATTGCTTTAAATTTAAAGCCATCATTGATATAATAATGTATAGAGATGATAGTAGTATTTTTATAAAGATTTTCAAATATCAAATTGTTACAAGTGATTCCGTTAAGACTTAAACATTTAAGTTTCTTACTTGTTCTTAAAAACATTGAAATCAAGGAGCATTTAATAGCATTTTCAAGCCTACAACCTATTTCATATCTTTCATGACGAAGCCAATTTTTAATTCCATTATATAAACAATCACTAATGGAAGTAATATAACTTGTATATTCAAATAAAAGTTTCGGATAATTTTGAAAAGTAAATTTAAAAGGAATTAATAAAGCTTGTTCTTCAGAATTTAACGTTAAAAGAAATATTTTTATAAGTTTTCGATTTCCGAAATGAACCGTTGGTTCACTCCATAATATTGGTACAATAATTCTACACCATTGACGGTTTACAAGAAGGCCTGAAAATGAGCTTTTATAATCATTTCGAAGGTTATTAAATATTTTAAAAAGGCATTCATTTGGTAATGAAATCATTTTGAACGGATTGAAAAAAAAATTTTAAAAAATTTAGTACGTACGTACGTACAGTACATTATTACTGTACATAAAACCAATGAAATGTCGTGAAACGTTGCAATCATGTCTTTATACAAGATATTCAGTAGTACGTATGTACGTACCTTACACATCATTGTACTCGAAGTTGCCACTTACCTATACATGGGAGTTTAATTAATTTTAAAAAAGGTCATCCTTCTATACAATCACACAGTTAGGTACGTTGAGAAGGGCGTGACTAACAATTTTGGACGAAAACCAACTAATCTATCAAATCAAACTAACAGCTAATCCACTCATTCGGCTTCAAGACACCTAAAACCTTAAGGTGGAAGGCTTCGGATGAGGCGTGGAAAGATTTGGTCCGGGTTTTAAGGTCCTTTGGGTCTTGAATTGTTATACCTGGCCTTATGGTGATATCTCCTAGACTTAGATAAGTCTCCTTATTCGGCTTTACAATCTTTCTTTATTATTATTACTAACAAGGCTTTATTCTTTTTCTATTTCGAAGTACTGTCTTTAGAGTCACGTGTGACGAAATCACGGCGAATATAAATATCGGGATCGGATCTTCGATTTTGCCGGTGATGTCACGAGATCACGGGTAATTTCGATGATCGGTCTTATTGTTCGATAAATGCCGCTAACAATGGATCACGGGGGATAGTGAACTATTCTACTATAAAAGGGTAAAATAATGCAACTTGGGTTTTCTTTCCGGTCTTAGGTTTTTCTTATAAGCGATATTTAATTTCTATACTAATGTTAGGGTATTTTTAAGCGTAACTAAAAGGTCAAAGGGTATGGGTATGTATAAAATCGATATGATGCAGTAAGGTTCTTCTGCTTCTCTCTCTTTTTGGAATGTGTTAACAATTTCTACAGTAATATCGGGATATTAAACGTAACTAATGATTTAGTAGGTATAATTTGAAGATAAGGGTGGATAACTTAAAGAGAGCACTTCTACTCGAATTTCGAAGGCTCTAACTTAAACTCAACTAAGTACTACTATGGAATACGAACTTCTAATAAGATAACAGGGTAAGGGGAAAAGGTTTAACAAACGTTCTATTATGAACGTTTTATTCAAAGGGCAATGATTTTTAAGGAAAACTTCTACTATATATAATTTCGAAGTTATAAAACTCTAATGAGTTGGTTTTTATTTCACGGCAAACAGCCAGCGCTTTTATAGCTTCTAGCGCTTATAATAAATACATTTGAACTCTATTATAGCTACTTATTATTCACATAATTCACAGAATCCTCATAATTCTCAAAATTCGCATAATTCCCAAAATTCACAAAATTCGCATAATTCCCGAAATTCACAAAATTCCTTTTTGGGAATTATGACTACACTCAAATGTTAATTTGAGCGAAATGGATAGAAGGCTTCCAAATCGGGTAAGAATTACGTATTAATTCTTTAGAGGGCTGTGCATATAGGATAACTTTCTCGTGATTGGTCGATCACATAAAATTGAATAACGCTTTACGATTGGTCAAATTATTAGATCATTTTTTTTATCAATTATCGAAATTTTATTTAAAAATTTTTTTATTAATTTTTATTAAAATTTTTAAATAAAAAATTATTGTTGTAACTCTTTGAGCTTTTGCAGCAAACTATCGAGTACTGTATCTTCGTTACTACCAATAATAATAACATTATCGCCGTCTTCATTTGTTTCGCTTATAAACTCTTCTGTTATATTTTCTTGAGCCTCTTCTGGTATATTTTCTTGAACTTGGATGACTTCTACGTTTTTTTTTTTTTGCCTTTTTTTTTTTTTTCTTCTTGCATTTCTGTTAGACGCTCCAGTAACTGATTCACATTTACTTGTATTCCATTCTTCAAGAATTCAAGACAAGGAGGACACTTTTGACCAATTTCTTCTAAGCATTCTACGTGATACTTATGACCACAGGCTAATATTTTTAAATTAGGGAATAATAAGTTAGTATATACATGAATATCAGCTTTAGTACATAACGAATAATCACACAAAACAGATTGATTAGGTTTTTGTGAAGTGCTAAAACCTAGAGGAAGGTGTTGAGTATTTGCAACAATGCCAATAGTTGGCATTGAAATATTAGTATCATTCACAAGTTTTCTTTTCTTTTTTCCCTCTAATAATATTGCGGGCTTATTCGAATTACGCTGTCTGTAGTAATTCGATTATAAATATTAATAAAACATTCTAATAAAAAACATGCTGCTTTTTGTGTGCAGCTACTCAAATCTCTGTAGCTTAAAGGATATCTTTTCCAAGTCGATTGGTGATCAAATAATTTATTAAGATGATTTTCATGTCTTAAAAAATTAATAAAATGTGCTTGATTTCGTAAGAGTTCTGCAGTATCATGCTTCTGGGTAGTTCGTCTCAAAATGCTGTGAAATAATTCAATGAGAGCATCGGAAAATTTTGGCAAGCGCGTTTTTAAAATTTCTAAAATGGGATGATTAATACTTCTCCAATATAAAATATCTGACAAGAACATTAGTGGTGCTTTATTGTAATTATGACGTGCAAACCATAAAAAAAGTACCCATACCCGTATTACAGATTCCTCATATTCTTGCCACTCACCTGTACGAAAAAAATTACATATATATCAAGAACAAGTGGAATCAAATTATCTAATAAGTCTTTTAATGTTAGATATTCAAGATCCTCACAGAAACCAAACTTTTTTTTAATAGTATTTGAAACCCGAAGCCAACCACGACGAGTCACCTCAAGAAGCAAGTTAATTCGCCAGGGTTGAATATTAATTCTGAGCCCTTTCGTTTGATCAAATAAATAATTGTGTAGCGAAGAAAAAAATAGATGGTACTGTATATAAATGAGCTCGCGACTGTTCAGAGATATATGCAATGGTCCGATTATTGGAATAAATGATAATACGTCTTGAGGAATATTAGACTTATCGCCGTAAGTCAAAAATTGGGAAATCGCGCTTCTAACAAAAATTTGCCCAGGCCAATCAGCAACGAGAGGTAGGATATAACCAGAATTGAAATACCTTTGTATCGTATCCACATTCCTAATAACAGCAAAACTCTCCAAGTACTCATTAGTAGAATGTAAATTATTTTTTACAAGGTCAACAAGCACGATATCATTCAATAATCTATCATTTATTTTTTCCTTGAGACGAAGGTCATAACTATGAACCATTAATGCCTCCATAGTTTCCTCTTCATTTTTACTTACCTTATTATTCCATCGTTCATTAAAAGTTACTCCCAATAATGTCATAAATCGGTATTCTAAATCAGCTTTTAGAGAATTTGCATTTATGAGCTTGGGATTGTGAATACTTCGGCCGTTATAATTCATAAGAATTGGTAATGTCGTTCTTATAGGATTTAACAGAATTGTTGCCATGTTAATTGCTATTGATGTTTCATTATTTTTTGGAACACGGTTCGTATGTATATTATGGTAATCATCTACATTTAAAATCATAGTATTTTCCTGATAATTCTCTAATTGGTTAGTTATGAATTGTACATGATTCTTAGAAATTTCATTTTTCTTACGCCAAACCGTTTGTACTGTTGATGTAATGCCGAATTCTGCTAAAGCATTGATCGTTGAATTACTTGTACCTGTAGAATCAAGATAAAGTGCTAAATCACTTTTTACATTAATAATAAATTTGTTACGCAGACCACAAAGCAAATAACAAACGAAAAGCAATTGAGACAATATTTTGGGGTGTGATTCTTCTTTTTTCTGTGATAGATTTACTGATAATACAAGTTCTTTGAATAAATTTTTATTTTCTGATTCCATATAAGCACGAAATTCTTCGAATGTTTGAAATGCTGGCAATTTTTTTGTTACTTCGCGCTTATATAGAATATCAGTCATGATTTTTATTGCCATTGAAAAGGATATAACCTCTGGATCTAACATATTAGCCTCTGGATCTAAGATATTAGCATCGAGTTGTTGAATATTAGAAGTTGCTTTTGCATACTCCTTCATCGCACCTGATGACTGCATTAAACCGTTATAACAACGTTGGCATACTTCTTGACCAACTTGCAAGTAAGCTGGTAGGGTACCATTGTCTCGAGCTCTTTCTCAGACCCAGTTAGTTGCGGTTTTTATACGTTGACCAGGAACTTTAGGACATACGGTTATCGCGCATTGCCATTCTTCCATGTTGAAATTAGCTCTAAGTAAAGTATACCTAAATGTTGGGATTATTTGTGATTATTTTGTATGAAGCCTTTTGCAAGTATTCTAAACGATTTTTGATAGTTATTTAATGATGTTATAGTATAAAAATTTTTAGATCTCGAAAAGTACTTTAAACTGTATAAATTCAATTGAATAAGATTGACCAATCAGAAGAAAGTTACCCTATATGGGCTGTGCCGAGTCAAAGATAATAACAATGTGCTAATAAAAAAGAAAAAAATAAAAATAAAACAAAATAGATAAGATGTTAACTTGTTATCAAGAATTTGTTGAGTCAAAAAATTCTAGAGAAATGTTTCAAGTTGGGTGTTGCTATAAGGATATGATTAGTAGCAAAATAGACAAACATTATCTAGACAAATATAAGGATAATAGAATAACAGTAATATAAAAAGGCTTGTAAGTAATAAAAATGCATCAAGTGAAAATAGCATAGACAAAGCACCTGCTAGTAAAAGTAAATCACAAAACCTACTTAAAAAATGCAATATAATTAATATACCCAATATCAAACCAGAAGTCAGATTAAAAAATCCTAAATTAAACCATAGTAGAGTTTTAAGCAGATAAATAAAAACTATGCTTATTATTTTATATTAGTAATAATTGGTATTATAAGGCCAATCAAGATATATATTGTTAGTTATTATTATGAATATGGAATTGAAGTTAAAAAGAATAAAAATATAGCATTTATATATTATCAAAAATTAGCTAATATTAGTAATTCAAACAGAATGTATTAAGTTGATTATATTTGAAATAATCAATATATCTATTATTAATTTCTTATTTATGCTGATCTATGATTTTTATAACTTGATTTTCTAAAAATTTATATACAAAATATTGATTATAAATTTTAGATACAAAGTTGTATAGTGCTTTTTTAAAGTGCAATCTGCTAAATGCTTTTCTATCAATCTGGTTTTTAATTTAAATTGAAAAAAACAATCAACATGTGAATTATAATATGCCAAATTACTAGAAGCATTTGAATATTCAATAAATATTCAATGAATTTATCCATACATCAGCAAAAATATATATGCATAAACTTTTGTAAGTTTTACGGTGCGTAAGAAAATCATAAACTTAAGTAAATTTCAGCGTAAAACTATATAAATCTTACGGTACATAAGAAAATCATAAATTTATGTAAAAATTTCATGTAAATTTACAAGTTTCTTATAGTGCGTAAGATTTACATAAACCAACGTAAAATTTTTACGTAAATTTACAAGTTTCTTACGGTGTGTAAGAAAATCGTAAATTTATGTAAAAATTTTATGTTGGTTTATGATTTTTTTTTTTATGCACCGTAAAAACTTACGAAAATTTACAGAAGTATATAAAAATTTATAAATCCTAAGATTTAATCTCAAGAAAAATAAAACTATTTATAAAACTTTTAAAGATATATAAACTATTTTTTATAACTTCGTGAACTTATAAAAGTTTACAAAAGATTTAAATTGACTAATAATTTTTTTAAATAAATTAATAACAGAATAAAAAAACTTGTAAAACATTTTTCAATACTATGAAATATTTTGAAACATTTGCACTTTTTTCTTAGTCTTATTCAAAATATATGTTAAAAACAATAAATCACTTGATTTAAATTTTTGTAAATTCGTAAACTTATGAAAGTTTACAAAAAGTTTAAATTGATAATATTTTTGTTTTTAAATAAATTAATAGCATAATGAAAACATGTAATGCATTTTTCAATACTATAAAATATTTCGAAACTTTTTGCATTTTTCTTAGGCTTATACAAAAATATATGGTATAAACAATAAATCACTTGATTTATATTTTTTGTAAGTTTGTGATTTCACGAAAGTTTACAAAAGCTTATAATTAGTAACATATTAATAAAATCTACACTAAAACGGACTTTGATAACTTTTAATTATTTTTCAATACATTGAAATATTTTGAAAGCTTTTACATACTTGTAACACTATTCAAAAATATACTAGATAATTAGTTTTGTTTAAATTTGTTATATTTTAAAAACTATAATTTATTTCGAAACATAGCATAAAAATATAAAATTTTTCTT